GCGTGCTGGCGCTTCGCGGACGCTTCCGCCTCCTGCCTGTGCCATTTCCTCGTGAGCCATGCCACCCCGTCCTCGACCTTGTTGTGCCACACCTCCGGGTCCTTCGCGCTCTCTTTCCATTTCCCCCCTTCCTTTTCGTTTTCCATGTTGAAGGCCACGAGGTCCCCTCCTAGACGAGACACCCAGTCGCTCTCCTGCCCGCCCCGGTATCCCACGCCCCCCGCCATCGCTCCTAACAGCATGCGCTTGGGGAGGCGGTTGTCCTCCATGCGCATAACAAAGCCCGCGAAACACAGTCTCCGTTTGCGCACGGTGGCCTCGATTGTTTCCTCGCAGCCTGCCTGGATGAGGGCCTGGACATTGGACAGGGGGCGGTCTGAGCGTTTCCGCTTGCTCCAGCCGATGCACCGTGTAAGGAATTGGCGGTGGGTCCCATTGAGCTTCGTGTAGTGCTCCGCTGTCAGGCCTCACCAGGCGCACCCATATAGGAGGGTCTCCACCACTTAAGCCTGGAGTAGCCAGATCTTGAGCTGGCGGGTGGCCCGTCGCCTGTCGTACATCGAAGCACTGTTCCGGCGGTAGCACTTCCACACTCGGCAGCTGCGGCTCGTGATCTCTCCGTCGGCCTTCCCGTCCGCGGAGATGGTACGTCCGAGGTACACAAACAGATCTGTCTGCTTGTACGTCTGGCCGGCGGTGCTGACCGTGAACGGGCGTTCCTAGATCCCTTTCGGCAGCATGCACATGATCTCCGTCTTTGGCTCCGATACCATCAGTCCGAACAGGCCGGCCACGCGCACGATGAGATGACCGACATCATCTTCTCGAGACTCTACGGCGAGCGCGAGACGATGGCCGCGTCGTCAGCGTAGCGCATGGCCCACATGGCCTCCGCGTCCGTCACCACCGTCGTCTTCTTCCCCGCCGACCTTCCTCTCTTGCCCGTGTACCCCACTTGTGTCCCGATCTTGAACATGTCCGCCGTCACCTTGGGGTCCTTGTCGAACTCGGCCACGGCGACCATGAGCACCGTGGCAAAGAACAAGTTGAACAGCAGCGGAGCCAGGTTGCATGCCTGTCGGAGGCCTAAGCCCACGTCGAACCGTTCCGAGTACTGCCCGTAGTTCGTTCGGACGCGCGCCCTCATGCCCTCGTGGAAGAGGCGAATGACCGCCAGCATCTTCGCTGTGTGTAGTTCAAACGGATACCCTCTTTCAGCAATCCCCAACTCTCCTCTTCCCGAATGATCAAGAGCACCTCCACGACCACCCGGAGTAGTCCATCATCTCATTTTGGTTCTTCCACGCCCGCTCGGACGCCCCGTTGGTGTAAGAGTCTATTACTGCCCTCGGTTCACTGCCGTCCTGCCAGTCGCTAGATTCCTACTTGTCGCCGCGACAGACCCATTCAAGCAACATTGAAACACCGATCCCCCGTTCTCCTGCCTCCGCTTCATCTGTGTGTCCGCATGTCGCCATATCGTGATGTGACCCTCTCGACCATGATTCACACTTGGTCGCGCCCCCTCGCCGTTCAACGAGGCATTCGACTGACGTTATCTCGACGACGATGAGGGTGACGAACATCCCGCCAATCCTTGAAGACATCTCCCGGCGTCATGCCTCCAACATCGATTGCTCATTGTTGTCTGCAAGGTTTCGTCCTCCCTACCGCCACCGGCGACATCTACCTGAGCTAGCCGAACGGTGACGTCGTCCTTCCGGCCGGTGTGCTCTTCGCTTTCGTCTTCGATTCCCTTCTTGTCGACTCTCACACAGCTGTAGCCGAATCCCCCAGGGGTTTGGGTCCCTCTCGCGACCTCGTTGAATTTTGGAACCTTGAAGCCATGCCGCTCTTCTTCGTATTCAACCCGCACCTCTTCTCCCGGCGGTTGTCGCAACACCACTCGGGCATGCCGTACCATCTCCCACCCACCCACGTTGATTCTCTCCTCTCTCACCACCCGCCTCCATCGCCACGGCGACCGCAGCCACGCACACACCAACAGCTCAGGAAACCGTAGTCCGCTCTGCGACTATTGTAGCCCTCTCAGGAATATGGTGCAGGAGAGGCCACTGGCATGAGTAGCTCGCCGGGGTTGACACTGATGCGATGTGAATAATACCTTGATAGGCTAGATCCACTCGGAGGCGACTCATTCCCTCTCCTGGAGAAAGATGCAATTCGAAGCCAACTACCCGTCGTAGCCAAACACGCGGGCCGATTCGACCCTAGTCCGTTGCTCTCTGTCGTCCAGTCTTTCCTCCCATCACTCAGACACAGACACAGCGGCCGACTCCACGTGAACATTTGTTTGGTCTCAAGTCGGGTTACTTGTCATTCGTGCAGCTTTGACACCACCATTAGACTTGGACGCTTTCGCTTCCCGCGATCACAACGATCCGACACTTAGCCGAGTCTAGTGGATGCAGTTCGGCATTCCAAACTTGATTGAGAGGCTTTCGCGGAGACACGAGTCACTGCCGGGGGATACTTTGGCAGTGTTTCTCGCTGAGTGGATGTGTGTAGTCCAAACGGATACCCTGTTTCATGAATCCGCAACTCTCCTCTTCCTGAATGTTCGGGCATCTCCACGACCATCCCGAGTACAACTGTCTAAATGTCCTCGGTCCACTGCTGTCGTACCGCCTTGCCGGTCGCTATAGATCCCCAATCGTCGCAGGACAGAACCATTCAAGCAATATCCGTCAAAGGGATCTGTCTCTCTACCGTTCCCTCTTAATCTCTGTGTAGTACGACCGCGGCCGAGGAACTTATCGCCACCTACACTTCCGAATGCACAGATCATCACGTTGGCCTTCGATCTTTCTCACTGTGTACTCTCTAACTAGCTCTTGTTGGCGTCCTTCGGCAACATAAGTCGTTGATAGTTCCGGTTGTCTCACAACAATAACACAACGCTCGGGTCTGTCACCGTCGCTAGGTTTGGTACTTTGTTTTTAACACGATAAACTGAAATGCTTTTTTTCGGACATCATTCTTCGTCTTCGGGATCAATGTTCGCGTGTCACGTATCGATTCGACAGCCGCAAACGCTGTTCCCTTTTCCGTACACATTTTTTCCGAATCGTTGTACTGCAGGCACATGCGATTCCCTCAGACCCCAAATGCCAATACTCCTAAACCGTCTCATGTCTGGATCACTTCCACCGCTTGGCATTGTGCTGGTGCCTCGCGAAGCACCACATCGTCGCAGTCATCTCGGTGCACGCCTTGAACATTGGGTATTCTTGCCTTGGCTAACACTCTATGCGCACCTGCGCCATTGCTGTGCTTCATAAAAGCTTTCGTCGGGCCCGTCCCTCTTCCAGTTCCCTCCGTATCTTTGACACTCCGGATTGAGCGTGGTGGACCGTGCTACATGAACATTTGAAAACGCTGAGCGATTTCTCACATGAATCTTCCCTAATGGTATTTCGCGCTCATGTCTTGTCTTCACATGTTATCTATCGGGCCATCCCGATGGCGTGCTTACTCTGTGGAAGCACGGACCAAGGGTGTAAGTCGGGACTATAGTTTGCTGCAACGATGACAAAGGGACGCGGACCGTGACACTGGACTGGAAATTCTACGAGTTCAAAAATTGGTAAGCAGCAGGGTGGGAGAAAAGGTAGCTGAGGTTGCGGTGGCAACCAGTAGGCAAACATTTCACTTGGACGTCTCAACATCACCAGCGTCTACGTTGTTGGTACATTTTGTGTCGCCGAAAGAGTGAAATTGTGTTGTGGCATCGCTGCCGTAGAGTTTGATACCGCTCGACAATCTGCAGTACTGTTCTCACATATGCCCACCTGGCCTCCAGCCCAGATAATCGTGCGTGCTTACCCTCCCGAAATCTCCAGGAAGCGCGAAATGATAGTACAAGGCAACCTGTTGACCTTAGAAGGCTGCCGACACGACGGCTGCAAAGAGATAGCCAAGGAATGTATTCAAGCATGGGAAGCGGGAGGGGGGAAGACCGACAAGGTTCTACCCGCCATCAACCGCCTTCTGCCAAGGTGCACTGCGCAATATCGCAGGAGCGTGGTTTCGTGCGGCTCGGTCTTCCAGCTGTGCACGCCAAGATTCTAGATCGTATACCTCGAGAGTGGTGGAATGTGTTTGCCATAGACTGACCTAAGACGTAGAAACGGCCGGTGTTGTCTCCTCGCCTGTGTCTTGTTCCGTCCCATGCCCAGAGACCCACAGCCGAGCGTGCCAGGAGCTGTGGATTGTTAAGGCCGGGAACGTCGAGGCCAAGCAACTGTGAATCTCCATCATACGAATCTGTAGAGACGGGTACCTTCGGGAACAAGGGAGGGAACGGGTGGGCATTGCTTTGTCAGTTTGCGGACTAGAGCCAAATCGTGGCGCCAATCGGGTGCATATTTCCATCAAGTAGGAGATACGGTTGCTGGTGGAAAGGGAAACCAATAAAACATACCATACGTTACAACTCTCGCCCCCAACAAGACCAGTTTGTCCTCGTGAGCAAATCAAGTCGTTTTCTTCATTCTCGTTGCTCGGGCTGCTGCTGCCCTCGAACTGGTTGGTTGCTTGTACTTCACCCTTAAACTGGTTAATGGCGTGCAGTACTTGCAAGATTATTGCGATTGTGCTGGCGGGTACCAACATTCAGCCACCATTTCCCCCCCCCCCCGCCGCGGGCAGCCGTGAGGGCAGAATTGGGGATCCAATCCCTACGGTCGGGAAGAGACGCGAGGAAGCTGACCTGGCAGTATCGCATGTGTGGGATGGGAGAGGAGAGGTTGCCGAGAATTGTATGAGAGGCGAAGTGGGCAAACAAAAAGAGGGGTAGACAACCCAGGGAATGGGTCAAGGTTGTAGAGGACGTATGGAAGGGGCTCGACATCGACGAAGATGAAACGCTGGAAACGGAGGGTCTACAGGGGTTCAAGGAGAAGATATCTGTTGCTTGTGCCGAGAGAGAAGAACAGAATCTGAGGAAAGAATCCAAGGATAAGGAGGGTCTAGAAGTGTACGGAATGTTGAAGGAAGGAATAGGGTCTTTACCCCGGAGCACCGAACTACCCCTCCCTTTGGGCCGAGGCCATGCCTTGGGCATGCAACGCCCTGAACTGCACCTCCACCACATCCGACCCAGAGAAGAAATCGCCGTGCGAGATGTGGCACGGGCACCCTACCCCGTCGGGGGCGACGTACACGTTCCTCAAACCTGCCGTAGTCAAGGTCAAGCGCGCGCACAAGTCCGAGCCGAAAGCCCAAAAGTGTTTTTACCTCGGCCCGGGAATCAACACCAACCGTGATTGCGTGCGCATCTTGAACGAAAAACGCCAAGCGATCACAACTCGCAACTTCACCTGGAAATCCGTACCCGCTGCCCCCACCGCCCTGCCCTAGTCGCTGCCTCCCATCGCGGAGGAGGAAGAGGAGTTCGCGACTGGGGAGGACGAGGTTGGGGAGGGCGCGTCGAGCCAAAGTGGAGTGAGGGCAGGAGGAGAACCTGTGGATGGAGGACCAGGTTTCAACCTTGGCACGACGGCAGCCCCGGGGCCAGCGGGGCCGGCCGCGCCCTAGGAGTCGGGGGTGGGCGACACGGGCGATGGCGCCCCCTCGAGCAGGGAGGGCGCGAGCGTCGCCCCATCTACCATGTCGGCCGGCATGGCCGATGTGCGCGGCGGCGAGGACGACCGCCGCAGCAGCAGCAGCCGTGGTAGCGGCGGCNAGCGGGGCCGGCCGCGCCCTAGGAGTCGGGGGTGGGCGACACGGGCGATGGCGCCCCCTCGAGCAGGGAGGGCGCGAGCGTCGCCCCATCTACCATGTCGGCCGGCATGGCCGATGTGCGCGGCGGCGAGGACGACCGCCGCAGCAGCAGCAGCCGTGGTAGCGGCGGCAGCGGCAGCGACGGCGGCAGCAATAGCGGCAGCAATAGCGGCAGCAGCATCGGCATCGGCAGCGACGGCGACGGCGACGGTGACAGCGAGACGGATCTCCCGGCGCTCTGCGGGCCAGAGGCCCGGCGGCTCGCCTGCTTCGACAAGCCGACGGAGCTCACCAGCCGCCGCACCAGATATAAGAATGTTCGTTGTGTGTGCGGAAACCGTTTTGGACGTACAGGTTACGGGGAAAGTACACCGGCTCCCCCCCCCCCCCCCCCCNGCGGTCTCGCATTTGTTCGCAATCGCCTTGTCGGCTTCT